TCAGAAAAATCTACTTGCCATATCCAGTTTTACAAAAGTGCTCGTAAATATCATATATAATGTTTTTAAGAAAAGTTCTTTCGTACACGTTACTAGCACAACTAGTAGCAACTTACAATAAAAAGAAGAATATTTTCCAAGATTTAGTAAGCAAGATAATAGCAGTTTGACAACTAACCCCGTGTCACATCTAACTCCGGTCTCCCCTACTTATTGAGTTATAAGGCTTGAAAATTACAGTACCATCGGCATTAGCATTATCCAAAATGTACCACGCGGAGGTTGCCCTATTGGATTTACATTTCTTTTATGTTCTGAGGAAGGTCGGAAGATAATCCAGCTAATAAAGGCAAGATTGATAGTTGATCCAACATTATTTCTATTGATTGAATCAACTATCGATCTTACTTTTATTGGCTAGATCATCCTTCTCAATAAATACTTAACGAAAAACTATTTTATTATAGTGTTTTGAAAAGCTGTCGAGGTAAGCTACAAAAATATGCAATGAAAATAAGGAAGTTTTGTTTAAAAAAGTCTAAGTAACCTTGCCCTGACTTTGACAACGCAACTCAAGATCAAATCAATGGCACCATCTTATGTCCTCCTTAAAGTCATAAAACTTTTGTCCGAAACATTTGTCACTCTAACGCAGTGTTTTTGAGATATTTGAGTGGATCTTTTAAAAAATAGAACATTCTGTATATACAGAGTATCTCAGAATTGTAACATCTCTCGTAAACAGGTAAAAGAAATAAAACTGAGTCAATAAGTTCTATATCATTTTGCTAGATTTGCAATAGTTAAATCTTAATTAACAAAGATCAACAAATAAGCATGCATCGTGCTTATTCGTCTTACGCGCATAAGAGAACCAGGCGCGCTTTGATATTACCCGTAGCAACATATGGGAGGAGCTAATATAACACCGTATACTATAACATATACATATTAAAATGTAATCGTGCGAAGTGCGCTGGGCTGTCTTACGCACGTAAGACAGTCCGATGCATGTTTATTCGCTGATCTTTGTTAATTAAGATTTCAGTAACTATTACGAATCTAGCAAAATGATATAGGACTTATCGACTCAATTTTACTCTTTTTATCTGTCTACAAGAGATGTAACACCAATTCTGGGACACCTTGTATATAATGTATATATATATATATATATATATATACAGGGTGTCCGACAATTACTTTAACATCTCTCGTAGGCAGATAGAAGGAGTAAAACTGAGTCGAAAAGTCCTGAACCATTTTTTTCTATTACATATAATAAAAGAGTAATTATTGAATAAATCAAGCCAATCAGCGCCGACCTTTAGCCGAACGTCAGTGAACCACACGTCCGATGGGCGTGAGCGCTCCGCGCGGCTCACTGACGTGAGCCCGGCTAAAGGTCGGCGCTGATTGGCTTGATTTATTCAATAATTACTCCTTTATTATATGTAATAGAAAAACATGGTTCAGGACTTTTCGACTCAGTTTTACTCCTTCTACCTGCCTAGGAGAGATGTTAAAGTAATTATCGGACACCCTGTATACAATATATGTATACAGGGTGTCTGAAAAATTTTGACACAGCCGAAGTGTGAAAATAGATTCGATCATTCTAAACAGAAAAGTCTTGTATCATTTTGCAAAACTTGCAATAAGTAATTAATTAATATAATTGAGTAATTAATTAATATATGTGAACCAATGAGCACGTGCAAAGGAATAGTCCGGACTTAATAGGCGTATATGATTTTCAGTTGTAAAGAAAAATGGCTTACTTCATGCAATTTCTTAAGAGATAAAGAGAGCAAACAAGCGAGTAGCGAGTGACACAGTTTTTCGCGATTAGCTGATCTTCACAACTGAAAATCTTACAGTACAAAGTCTGGACCATCACTTACCACACGTTCTTTGGATTACATGTAGTAATTAATCACTCAATAACTATTGCGAATTTTGCAAATTGGTACATGACTTTTCGGTTCAGATTAATCTAATCTATCTTCACACTTCGCTGTGTCAACATTTTTCAGACATCCTGTATATATAATGTATATACTGTTCACGAGAGATTGTACGGCAATTACGAGACACCCTGTATACATATTAAAAAACGTAAATTTTAAATAAAAACTCAACGTTATAAAATAGATAGAAAGCAAACACATTGCTAACCTGGTCGAAAGAGAACGATGGCTTTCATACAAGCAAATTCTGCAGGATCGACCATAATTGCTTTATATCTCTGTAGAGTATCGTGCAAGTTTCTGACGTCCGTCGCTACTTGATTAGATTTTCCTGTAGCAGTTTGCAAGTGTAGTCCCGAATGCGGATGCGAATGTGGTGAAAGAGATAGAGCTGTTAATTCAGCGGTGCTAAAGAGAGGTGACGATTCGAGCGGCAAACACCATTGAACCGCATTTAAAAGGAACAGCTCTGACCAAACTTCTTCCAACAATATTACCTACACAAAATAAGCATGACCGTTTATAATTTAGGTTGATATCAACTGTTTTTGTTAGTTTACTTTATTTATAATAAGGAAATCTTTTTTCTCTCTCTAGCAGAACAGTTTAAAGCCAGACAGTATATCCAATGATAATGTAAGTAAATAAAGTAAATAAATAAGTCACAGTCGATTTTACCTGATCTCTGAATGGCAGACCAGCAAAAGAGGGAAGATTTTTTGCCCATTTAACAGCCATGAAAAGCAATCTTGCACTGGTCTCATATACCGTTTCGGCACTTGCTGGTGAATATAACGATGGAAGCACCGGAGGAAGCGTACATCCGCTACGTTGAGACGTTAACGGTTCTTCGTTTGTTACATCTATACTATCTTCGGATGCATTTCCTGTTTAATATCATAAAGCTCTCTGTTCATACAAATATATAAATCTTTTATAGTAACCTGAGCAATAACACATAAACACTATGAATATTGTGAACAGTGTCTTCTAAAATAAATTAAAAAATTTTACACTTTACTAAATTTGTGTTGGATGAATTACAGTTTACTAAATATTACCAAAACGCAGCACGTTAAAATTAAAACATTAGATTTATACTATTTTTTAATCTTATTTCTATGCCAAAAATCTTAATTTCTTAAAATTTATATATATTAGTGGTTTATCTTCTAATAAAAAAATATACTTTTTAAAACTCCAAAGTTTATTTCAATCAGATTAATAATTTGATATTCTTTCCCGCCAATTTCAAAAACATAGTTTCAAGAAAACGCATTCAAAGTTTAACGTACATATTTTGCTCCAAACTTAAATATACATAAGGCCGACTTGTAGCTTCCGTAATATTATGAATTTTAAAACAATATTTTACAGATATATTCTAAGCATTTTAATGATTTAAACAATGTAAACACAAAATTGAATTTTCTCGCTAAATCAAAAGTATCTATATTTACATACACACAAAAAATGCATACCATCCTCGTTATCTTGCCGAGGTGGAGTTGACACGTTATTCGTTGAATTTGTTGTTGGTGCAACTGTGGGTAGAGGTAACGGCGTAGTATATCTTGCCATAGCTAATGATACTGGCGGTCTATGAAATAATTCATATAGTAAAAAGATAAAGTATTTTTATGAAATATTCATTTATAATCATACTAAAACTTAAAAACTAAGAGATTTTGGTAAATATTGACAATAACGGACCACTTTCCGACCAACTTGAGCTTCACATATGTTATCAAGGACATTGTCCTGAGTGACATGCAAAAAGTTTTAGCCGTCGCTCATTGTTTATAAAAAAGTTATAAACAAAAACAGTTTCATAAATAAATTTTTTTTCGACATTATAGACATTTTCTTCACGTTGTAAGCGTGTAAGCAGGGAGGGCGCCCCCTGCAGGGGAGGCGTAGTCCCTCCCTTGCACCCTTCTGAGCTTATCATGTTTTGCGTACATATTACCTTCTGTTTATGTTTTATTTTTGAATATTACATATATATAACCTTGCATAGAATAATTCTTTATTTTTTCTCGAAGGGGGAGCAGGGGGAGGGGCGTAGCCTCCCCTGTCGGCACACTTACAACATGAAGAAAATATACATAATGTCGAAAAAAAATTTATTTATGAAAAAGTTAATAACAAAAAAGTTTTATAAATGAACTCTTATTTTTCAATTCTATGTACATTTTCTTCGTGTTGCATGTAGACAAGGGGAGCTACGCCCCTCCCTCCTGCTCCCCCTTTTGTATTTTGCGTGTATACCTTGTGTTTATATTGGACTACTTCTTTTGAATCCACTATTCAATGAATGTGTTTTGTTATTACCTTTTGAATAAACAACAAATGACGGCTAAAATTTTTTGCATGTTACTCAGGACAATGTCCTTGACAACATATGTGAAGCTCAAGTTGATCGAAGGGTAGTCCGTTATTGTTACTATTTACCAAGATTTTGTAACTATTATTTATTAGATATATATATTAAATATTATTTATTATAAATATTATTTTTTAATTATTATAGATATTAACGGTATTAAAACGTTGTTAAAAAGTTTAATATTAACTCTAATTGTATAAACGTCTTGGTGTACGAGCAAGTTTTGAAAACGAGATATCTTAAAACCTATTTAGAGAGAGTGGAAAAATTTGTAATTTCTCCCTAAAACAGTTATAATAAAGAGGAATCGACGATAAAAAGAATGGAGACTGGCAGCAGTATGTCACCAAATTACCAAGTGATAGAAGTCTTGGACACGAATGATAGAAAACAGTTGGATTTTCGAAGTTACAACATTTTTTTATAGCCTTCATTTTCAGGTTTTTCATTTTTTTCGTGTATAACAAATAATTTCAATAATTTTTTCTTCCCTAAATAAAAATATCAGTACGCACTTCAAAAAAGATCTTAGCTTCTCCTTGTTTCCAAGAAAAAAAATGTTGTTTATTTTAGTGCAGATCTCAGCAAGAAATTAAAAATATTAAAATTTTTGTATGTAGTTTTGATAATAAAAATTATTTAAAATAAAAAACTGGCAATTTTACTTATTTTACATATGTGTCAAAAATAGCAAATATATTGTATCTTTACAAAAAAAAACATAGGTACGCCAAGTACATAAAAACTATCTCAATCAATATACAGACTATCTATTACATAAATCTTTTTTCTGTATAAGTAAAAACACAGACAATCAACGCAATTAACCAAGTACTGGACCCAAGACTTAGACCCCATAAAACGGGCTTAAAACAAAAGTAAAGTACAAAAACTTGGCGTGCCCGGATCGTAAGTAGTACTGATTCAAGCTATATATTGTATATGAACTCTTAAGACGCACAATTCTTAGATATATCTACTTATTCTAATATGTTTTATTATATTACATATATATCTTATTAGAGAGTATACATATATCTTATTATATATATATATATCTTATTATATTTTTTTATTATTATTATATTTTCTTCTTTTATATTTATATTTTTTTGTAGTTAAAACAAGATAACAACAACTATCCTTAATGTGATATAATGTTACTTTTCAAATTCTTAAATATTATATACGCCAATATGTTAGTATTAATTTATTACTTCATTCACTTATGTATTTATCGTCAAAATGCTTTTTTGTACGTTATTATGACTTGTATATATTGTACATATATGTGTGTGTGTGTGTGTGTGCGCGCGTGTGTGCGTGTGTGCGTGTGTGCGTGTGTGCGTGTGTGCGTGTGTGCGTGTGTGCGTGTG